CTCCCCCGGGGCACCAGGGAGGGACAGCCACCAGCCCCAGGGTCCCCAGAGCTCTCCTGCTGCCCCCTCAACCCTCGCCTGGCCTTGGCATGTCCATAAGAGGCGGCAGACACTGCTGGCCCCAAGGCACAGCAGCTTGCCAAGCGCTGTCATTTCTCCTGCAATGTCAAAGAGCTCCTGCGAGCGCAGCTGGCAGGTCCCTGGCAAGCAGCGTGACGAGGAGCAACATCCTCCAGCTAGGTGCAACAGTCCCCGAAAAGCTGAGCACCAGCTGCACCCCTCTGCACTGCCACACACTACTGTGCCACCAGCTCGCTGCCACCACAGCCACACGAACACCCCAGGTGCTGCCAAGGCCACCTCCCTCCCTCCTGCGCTGCAGAACTGAAGGGCCAGACATTTTAAGAGCCATAAATGTTTGCTCCCTCTTGGTCCCCCAGCACCAGCAGCTGCCCCAGCACCTCCGGGAGCCAGACAGCAGGGAAACACCCGGGACAAGCACCAGCCCAGGGCCAGCCAGCACCCTGGCCACTGCAGCCACACCAAACGGCACACGGAGGGACGCTGCACCTCCTGCAACCTGCCCACGGCCTCAGCAGCCACCAGGATTAACCGCATTTCTCCTTGCAGGGGAGGCAGAGAGGCTCTGCCCGGCATCCCCAGGCAAAGCTGCATCCACAGGAGCCTGTGAAGTGTCCCGGCAAAGGGACAACACATTGTACCTGGGAACCAGCAGCCTCTGGGGCACTGGGGCTGCCTAAGCTGAGGAAGGAGGAACGGGCTGTCCACACTGGCTCCCTGTAGCAAACTGGGGAGCTGGATGCAAAAGGTGTCCCCATCCCAGAGCCACTGAGAGTGGCTGCCTCCCTGCACGCCGCAGCACACACATCGCCCCGTCGCAGCAGGGGACATGCCAAGGCTTGCGCAGAGCGGCTGGGGCATGGCTGGACGCTGGCACCCGGACTGCCTCCGTCACTGCTCACCGGGGACGGCCAGGCAAGCAGACCCTGCCTGCAGGCTGCCCTGCTGCTGCCCAGCCGGGACAGACTCCGATGCTCCTTAGCCAAGTTACAGGGCAGGCAGACAGGTCTGTTCAGGGAAACCCACCCAGAGGAGGATCTTCTCCCCCACCCTGCTGGGTGACTTGTGCTGCCTGCGCTGCAGGGGAGCTTGTACTGCCCTCCCTGCCCCCCAGTGTTGCTCAGGCTCCAGATCCCACAGGAAGGTGCACGGAGCAGGAACTCCAGACGCACTCCATGCCTTGGAGTAGTTTTATCCTGTTTTCCTATGCCTGCAGAGAGACAAGGCAGCAGAAAGCACCCGCCCTATAGCCCCTTTGCTCCCTGGAAGCAAGACCCATTGGCGGTCCTGCTCTGCTGTCCAGCGTCCTCTCCCCACCCTATTTTATTCCAGCGGAAACTTTATGCTATGCAAATAAATCACCCCACTGCCCATGAGCAACAGTTTCTTCCAACCCCTCTCCCTTGCCAGGGCTGCCGAGGGCTTTGCAACCTGTTTACCAGGACTTTAACCCGCAGCTTCAGCTCTTGCAACACCGCGGAGTCAGCAGAAACAGGCAGCAGCGAGCGCTCACGGGGTGAAAGAGCAAGTGGGGCAGCCCAGATGCCGAGCCAAGGCTCTCGGCTGTTAGCTGGATACAGCGGAGCCAGAGGAGAGAGGACGTCCTTCGGGGAAGGTCGCTCTGCCTGGCCCCAGAGAAGGTGCCTCCGGCCGGGGGATCCCACTCCGGGCACCGGGAATCCTGCCTGCAGCAAGCCTGCAAGCACCCTGGCTGCCAGCAACTCCAACCCTGCAGGCTCCAAGGGAAGGGAGAGAAGGGAAAAATACCTGCTTGTCAGCCACTTGGCATGGCTTTCCCAGAAAAAGTTTAGCTCTCTGACGTGGAGGGGCCAGCAGAGTTATTTGAGGATGTGGCTGCAGCCCTTGGACACCGCTGGGGAGAGCTGGCAGGAGGGAACAGAGGGTTTTCGGGGACAGTGGGAGGGTGTTGCCGGGCCAGGACAGTGTGGGTGCCGAGGGCAGGAGGATGCAGCTACAGCAGGGAAGCTGAGCGGGGTCCCGGGGACCGATGCAAACCAAGGCTGTGCAGCCGGGGCTGGCACTGCCCCCCCTGCAAGCCCCCAGCCAGCGAGCAGCGCAAGCGCCTGCAGAAGCATCCCACTCCCAGGGATGGAGCAGCAGGTGTCTGTGCAGCGCTGATGAGAAGTGAGCACCTGGAGAGCAATTTCAGCCTCTCCAGTTTCAGGGTAATTTCACCTGCAGCTACACAAGCACCTGATTTCCATACAAAAAGCTCCTTTTGACTTCAGATTTCGAAGGATCCTTTCAGGCCAGAGGAAATTATTCCTCAGGGCCTGGCAGCAAAGAGGTAGGCAGAGCTCTCATGGTGTGGCAGCAGCATGGCCGACCCATGCCTGAGCACCC